ACAAGTACGGTTGTGCTGTCTTAATGAGATTTTTAAATGGACTTTCAGCGGTCCACGCTCTCATTAAGCCCCGATTTCACTTAGAAAATGACAGAAATTCACAATTATGAAGTGCTAAGACAGAATAAATTGTCTTACCATGACAACTGAAGCACCGAGAATCATAAAAATCATGGTGGTTGTGATCATATGCATCAAAACTTCCGAACTCGCCTTTCCTCTTCCCCAGTCTGTTCAACAAATCCGGTTAAATTAAAAACATGCCGTCCCGGGAGAAGACGCTCATGGATGCGCCCTCGCCGCTACACCTGCCTCCTCGGTCCTGAACCCGCCAGATTGGGAAGCGTTCTTAAGGCGCATAGGGTTAGGATGAGCAGATCTCGCTATCCCACACGCGCATTCACACAGTCTTCACCCACATCCAGCGATACGTTCCCCCAGTGCTGCAGTTGAATCCGCCTTAGCCGTGCGGTTGGGAGGGAGCTGAGGAGGTAGAGCGTCCTAGTCTGATTACTGATGCTGCTGCCTCTCTCCTCCTTTGCGCTCCGACGCCGCTGGAAATGTCTTGCGAAATCGAGCAATGCCTGGGTCAGCTAGTTCTCTGATATATCTGTCTAGCAGTTGACATCTAGTAGACCTGAGATACGTCGCCAAGGCTTTATTTGAAGAAATGTGTGGTCGGCTTTACATATCTACTGCGATCTTGCCACTGTACAGGTGGCAAGCCGCATTAACATTTATACCTTAATAAGGAACTAGTAGCTACTTACATGTTTAAAAATTATTATTCACACACACACACACACAAAGATATTTTTAATGTTTTTGAAAGAAGTCTCTCATGCTTAAGGCTATAGGCTACAAATATTTATAATAAAAAAAACGGTAATGTTGTAAAATATTATTATATGGTGACCGAGAGAGCTCAACGCGCTGCAACTGAAGAAAACACATGCAAATAGAAAAACACCCCCAAATTAAGAAAACATCTTCATCAGTTTTACAACACATGTGTGCCCCAAATACTCACAACACAACCAAATACAGAAACGCGCTGCAAAAGTTCACAACACAACCAAATACAGAAACGCGCTGCAAATAGCACAGACCACAACGGACATGTTTCCAGGGGACCCCAATAAGCGACGAACACGGCTGGCATGCTTATCGCTTGTGAGCATGCCCTACTCCCTTCGAAGGGCTGAGCCTTTGAAGTGGGGACTTTGGAGTGAGCACTTGTGTGGCATTATATGTAGCCGTTTGGAACGCACTTGGTGAAGGGAGCAACGAAAGACAACGTAGGCCATACTTTCCTCATTATTTTCACCTGGGATGTTCCCATGACAACGCAGCGCGGTGTCCATCAGCTGAATAGCTGTTCTTACGACAGAATTAGAAATGTCTTATTATTTCTGTTAACATAACTTTTGCAAATAAATATACAATTCATAAAAAATTTTTTTAAAAATATGCGTTATATTAGCCTAGAAATCTAGACGCACCCTAGCGGCAGCGAAAATTATTTCGCAGCCAGTGTGGTCTAGCAACTCTCCATAGGCTTTTGAGCTGGAAAAAACTAAAACTGGTCGGGCCAATCACATCGTGTATAGAGTCGGCAGACGGGCTTAACACAATGACGGCACAGTTCATGACGTTCCGCGTGATTTCCATAGGTGATTTCCCTGCTACTTGAAAACAATGAAGATGCAGCTGTCTTTCGAATCGGCTTTGGCCGCGACTCTGGAGGACTTGGAGTTAAGAGAACGTCACTTAAGTCATTCTTAAAAAAGGAAGATGTGTTCGGATTTTTGCCGTCCTGATACGGCAAAAGTTTAATATATCAATTAGCTCCGCTGGTGGAAAAACGCATGGGACTCACTCATCCACAACCGTTCGTTGCTCTGGTTGGTTGTAGCGTTATCCTATTGCGTGCAGAGGGATTTTGAAAGGTAACCGTTTATCCCGCCCCTCGGATTGAGGCATGTCAATGGAGAGTTCCCAGACCTAACATCTTGATGTAGGTCTGGCATGCCAGGCTAGCGTTATATATCTGTGAGAGTGTCTCAACTTTAAAACTTGCTGTCTTATCTTGGACCCTGCATTACCTAACATTTCTTATTAAATTAAACTTATTTAAACATAACATGACACAATTTGTGTAACTGATGTATAGATTAATATCTTACCCTCCTCATGTTCTTTTTCTCTCTCTTTTTTAGTTTTTTTTAGGGTTCATTTTTTTTTTTGTATTCTGATGACATTGAACATATTGTATACAAAGTTATATGTCATAAACATGTCATCTCTGTATGTTTTGCACTCAAAAAAAGTTTAAAAATAAAATAAAAATGTAGAATTTGAGCTATAAGCACGTCCCAGCCGGGTTCGTCACTTATTGGGGTCCCCTGGAAACATTTCTGTTGCTGTGATCACATTATGAAATAAATGCTTTTCTCCAAACCATGCTGGCCATAATTATTGGCCATTTTGCCAAGAGCTCTGAGTCTTCTCCTATAATGCCTGATGAGTTTGGAGAACACCTGACAAGAGATCAGAGATCATTCCATTCTCTCCAGATCCTTCAGATTCACAGATCCATGTTGGCGCTTCTTCTCTTCATTTCAGCCCACTCATTTTCTATAGGGTTCAGTTTAGGGGACTGAGACGGTCATGGCAGAAGCTTCATTTTGTGCAGCTCAGTTACACATTTTTGTGTTGATTTTGATGTTGTCCTGATGGAAGACCCAAACACTGCCCATCATAAGATTTCTAGCAGAAGCCGTCAGGTTTAGATTTTTTATCTGTTGGTATTTGCTAGAATGCAAGATGCCAGTTTCTTCCCCCCTCCCTCCCTCCCTCCCTCCCTCCCTCCCCCCCTCCCCACTTTCAATTATTTTACTTCAATGAAAGGTTCGATTTTTGCTATTTTTTTTAATGAAAGATCAAAAGGATAAACCATGTAGATTTATTTTTTACAGCCATTTTTGATCATATTTACCAGGGGTGCCGTTAATTCTGACCACAACTGTATAGTTTTAAGGAATAAGTGTTAAAATGGCTTGCCGCACACTAGGTTTCTGTTGATAAAGTAGGCTTCTTCAAGCCACCATACGACCAGATCCTTCTTTCTTAATATCCATTTGGGTTTATATGCAGAATGTGCCAACACAGTCTTAAATCTTGCTGTTTGATCCACAGCAGCCAGGAGCGTTCCTTCTCTCGTGGCGGTGCGTGAGCGTTTGTGCGCGTGAGAGAGGTGGGGGAGAGACAGAGAGGGGGTTTGGGTGGGGAGTGGTAGAAGAGTCTTGACTAATTCACTTTTCCCGTAAAAACATGGCTGATCTTTTTCAATTAATGAAATGCACTACATTATATAGGACAGCCATCCCCCAAGGAGCGTGTAGTTTTTACCAACACATCCTCACGCCCCCTCACGCGCTCTGCAGTTCTTATTGCGCCATTTCTTTTAGCTCATAGGATTGTTCAGCTTCTGTTTCCCACCTCATGTTTCCGAGGCTTTGCACGCTAACTAACACATGTGAAAGGACCTTGACCGAAGATACAAAACACTGACTGACTTGGCAGGAATTCAGGCTTTAAGTCTTAACTCAATTTCGATGCACTTCAGTTTCTTTCAAGAGCGCGCAGTAATGCAGAGTGATAACCAAAACGCAACCAAATCCATTCCGTTGAACAATAAATGCTGCGAGAAGGGAAAATGCATCAGTGACGTTTTCAATAAGGTTTTCATGCAAAACTTGCCGCTATTTTTTGTTTTCACTATAAATCATACCAATTCATAATATACTGATACATGATGACACATCTTTATCTGTGAAGGTCACCGAGAACATGCCACTATGTCCCCCACATTCAGCAGCAACGCATTTCAGCACCCTGGAGAGCAGCACAGTAAAGATTTACTGCTGACCACCAAACTCTCTCTCTCTCTCTCTCTCTCTCTCTCTCTCTCTCTCTCTCTCTCTCTCTCTCTCTCTCTCTCTCTCTCTCTCTCTCTCTCTCTCTCTCTCTCTCTCTCTCTCTCTCTCTCTCTCTCTCTCTCTCTCTCTCTCTCTCTCTCTCTCTCTCTCTCTCAATAAGCTGACACAATGTAGACTGAAATGGAGAGAGAAATTAGTTTTCTAGAAAATCTGAAACTTCTCCAATTTATCATGCTCAATAATGTTTAGATTATTTTGTATATTTTTTTGCAACTGCTTTTTTTCTTTGGAAACCTCATATCAAGCATAAAACAAGCTTATTTATCACATCGATTTAGATTATTTATTGGCCCTATATATGCTCACTGCATTGTTTTTCCGAGTTTCATTAGAAGATAGAGGGATATAACATAAATAATAACAATACACTAGATGTTAGAGACTTTCTTAGTGGAAAAACTTTCTTATTTCTATTCTGTCACTTGCTCAGTCTCATTGAGTTAAAAGCATGATAGCTAAACATTGTTATGATTATAATTATTAATATAGCCTACATGCAACGTGATTTTAACTAATAGTATATGATATTATATTTTTTTTATTTCATTTCGTTTTTTAGTTTTATTTAGCGATAAATCTTCTCTGATGAAATATAATCAAATGAGCTATACCTATTTATCAAAAATATGGTTCTGCAAAAACACAAAATAACATTGATACTTTCTATAAAAAATATATTAAAATTTTTATACAACTTCTAATGTATGAAGGTTAAATGAATATTTATTGGTGTTGTGAAGTATTTTATTCTTATTCATGACATCTGCACTAGTAGGCCTGGTTTACGGTCGCTTGCTTCACGCTGCTGCTTATCCCACGTCATTTCCGCTGCAGTTCACGTTGTTGTGAGTGGAAGTGGATCGAACCCATAACAGAAATAATGGTTGTTCCACTTAAACGAGTTAACGAATGAAATGCCATGCAAACGTTTTTTTTTTATCACAAGTTGTAGAAACACCGTATTAAATTGAGTGGCTAAGGAAACCGTAATTTTTTTAGACAGTTAGCAAACTTACCGGTGTTGTTACATGGCAACCGTCAAAGCTGACAAAACTGACAGACGGCTTGTTTTCTGCACTTTCAGTCACAAATAACATCTCACAACACACCAAAGAGGTATAGACGTGTATTAGTTTAATTATTATTTCAAATGAAAAGATAATTATACTTCTCTTATGTGTGTCGTTATTGACATTTTTGACTAATATTTAATTTTACTTTTTCATCTCTGTGCATTAAAGTATTTTAACATTTATGTTTTTCAGAATGATCAAGAGTTTGCCCCAAGATGTTCAAGCAAAGCTGCGCTCTGGTGTTGCTATTTTCTCATTGCAGCAATGTTTGGAGGAGCTCCTATTGAACAGCATTGATGCGGGAGCAACATGTGTGGCTGTCAAAATAGACATAGAAGCATGCAAGCTGCAGGTGATCGACAATGGCTCAGGGATGTGCCAGGAGGACATGGAGAGAGTGGGATACCGATACAACACAAGCAAATGCAGCTCGCTGGAGGATCTGGATAATCTCAGATTTTATGGGTTCAGAGGGGAAGCGATTTCCAGTATTGTCTCCCTTGCAGAAATGGTTGAAATGTCATCTAGGACTAAGCTGTCGGTGAAAACATACGTTAAAACCTTTAATGAAGCAAATGCATCGGATGTTTTAGAAGCTCAAACTGTTCGTCCCTCTGCAGGGACGACCGTGTCCGTCTACAATCTCTTCCACAACATGCCAGTCCGAAGAAAGAGAATGGATGCTGTTTTAGAAACCGAACGCATCCGTCAGAGAGTGGAGGCCATATCTCTGATGCACCCATCTGTGTCATTCACAGTGAAAAAAGAAAATTCGGCTCACATGATGGTGCAGCTCTCTAAAACAAGCAGTACCTATTACAGGTTTGTGCAGATTCATGGCTTGAATCGAGCCCAAAAGCTCAGAGAGGTCAATTACGTCCATGAGCAGTTCGAAATGACTGGTTATATCGGTCGTGAGGGACATTACAATAACAGCTTGCAATTCCTATTTGTAAATGGGAGGCTTCTTCTGAAGACATGCATTCATAAAACACTCAACAGCCTTCTGAAGAGAGTTAGCAGTGTTGCGAGACAAAACAACAGCCCAACCGCATATTCGTTAACATCGAGCCCCAAACAAAGAGGCGGATGTGATCTCCATGGCGTCTATGTTTTAAATATCAAATGCCATTACTCAGAGTATGACATATGCCTCGAACCAGCCAAGTCACTGATAGAGTTCAAAGACTGGGATAATGTACTCATCTGCATTGAAGAAGGAGTAAAAGCATTTCTTACTAAGGAAAATCTGGTGACAGAGTTTTCCATGAATGGCAGCGATGGTCCATCAAGTAGTCCATTGAGGAATGCAAAGACTCCTGTGGCAGAACAAAACCTCAGTGCTGAGCAAACGCGTGAAAAGTGTGACGCACTGACTGAGAAAAAGGATAATGCAAGTGGTTTGGAAGTCTCTGGTGGTCAAATGTTGGAGCAAGTGTCAATAAACACCGAAACCTTTTCCAGTGAAGAATCAGACGCTGAAAAAGCTCTTCAGGGTGGCGATTTGCGCTTGCAGACCACATTTGCAGTTGCTACAGAAATGAATAACAATCGCAAAGAAGATGAAAATGCAATTTGTCCTAATATAAGCCATAATGATTTGCCAGTTACTGTTAACAACAACAACATAAATTTGATGGGAAGCAAAAAACACAAGATTTCAATTCTGGATGTAAAAGGGGCGCAAGATAGTTTAAAAAAATTCTGCTTCCCAAATAAAATTTCTCCAAAAAAGAGAAAGCTGCCATTAGATGACATTCAAGAAGACGAACATGTTTTTTATGGTACCAGCTCAAAGACTTGCAGAGCTGCACCATGTCATAAATTAACTCTGTCTTTTGAAACAGGATCTCTTGACAAGTTCAAAAGGTTGTTTGGGAAGGATCCTGAAAAAGAACAACCAAGTACAGAAAAAACAAGCCATTTACAACCAGAATCCTCTAGAAAATCTAATGACTGCTTTGTAGGATCTACTTTGTGCTTAGATGATATAGACAAGCCCTTATTGAGGAACATTTCAGATGCTTATTCTCCATGTAGTTCTGAATGTTATGCAGAATCTTCACCATGGAACGAGGGAGAAAAAATATCATTGGCTGCCAAATGTTCCTACTTCAAACATGATAAAATGGCACTCAGAGAGGTCAGCAGAGATACAGACTTTCTTCCCATGGAAACGTTGTCTTTTCCAGTTGTACAAGACTCAAACTTTAAAGAAAAGTCCCATGAATTAGAAAAAGAAAATGTATTATTTGGATCCTTTGGAACTGTTGATTCGCTTGTCCATGATTCTTCTGAAGACAACCCAGTCTTCGCTCTGATTGAGCAGGACCCAACAACAATACCTTCCTCAAATTTAGAAGACCCTCACCTCTGCAACAAGAATGTGCCTTCATTTTTGGGAAGTGTGAACAGTGTTGATGAAGCCAGAGTAACCTCTCTGCATGATCCTCTGTGCAGCAACACAGGAAATGAAGGTCAGAATACAAATGACAGTGTTGAAACAATCCCAATGGCCAGCAGCTGGCTGGCTCATTATGACAGTTGCTTAGGAAAGCTAGTTTACATAAACCAAGTTACAGGGCTCAGCAAATACGACTCTCCTCCTGTGGAGGAGACTCAAGTGTCATGTACCACAGATGTCACTAACATGGCGGTCAGTGTTATTTCAAGAACAGGTGGGAGAAATTCAGAGAGACGTTTTTGGATCACTAATGTACAGATATTTATGTTATAATCAGCTTGTCTTTGCCCATAGGATTTGAGTACAGGTGTTATCCATTTCACACAGATATTGTACTTCCCTTTCTGCCCAAACCCAGAGCAGAAAGAGCTCTTAACTCTGGGACAGACAGCAGAGGTACAGCTCTAGACTGACATCAGGACTGAAATCAGCTTTTTAGTGCACATTAACTAATTGTTTTTCTTTTTACTCTTTCAAGAGGATGCCCAAGGTCCCGATTCATTGTCGACTTTATTCTCAAAATGGAGTAACCCGGTGTTCATACGGCCTCCAGAGGTATAAAGACTACTGGTTTAATAAATTAAATATTTTAAGGGAGAATATTTTTAAAAAAAAACATCTAATTAATTTGGCTCACACTAATAATTATTCTGAAAAGGTTTCTGTGGATGTAACCAGCGGTCAAGCTGAGAGTCTTGCTGTAAAGATACACAATATTCTTTTCCCCTACCGGTTTACCAAGAATATGATCCACACAATGAGAGTAAGTATTATACATCAACTCTTTTTGTGCACTGAGGAACTGACACTTACAATGGTGAAAATGAATCTAAGATTTAAAACAAAACAAATTTTTTTTTTTTAAACCTTAGGTCATCAATCAAGTGGACAAGAAGTTCCTTGCTTGTTTGATAAATACAACAGAACAGGATGTGTCTGAAAGCAGTACAAATGAAGGTGCCATGGCCTGAAAATCATTGCATTGAATAGTGTGATGATGTCCTAAACATTTGTCTTTGCCTTCTACTGCAGGAAATCTTCTAGTGTTGGTTGATCAACATGCTGCCCATGAAAGAGTTCGACTGGAGGGGTTGGTAACAGGTAAATCAAGTCAAGTCAAGTCATCTTCATTTATATAGCGCTTTTAACAATGAATTGTTTCAAAGCAGCTTTACAGAGATAAACATATAATTTAAGGTAACAGATTGTTTTGGCGTTATAGCGGTTCTTGAATAATGTTACTTCCAGCTAAAGTTAACTTTGATTGATTCACCTCCGTCGAAATGATCAGACTTTAAACGCGAACCTGTGATTAACGCAGACGGCGTTCACATGCTCATTCAGAATTCTATAGTTATGTGCTTTTTAAAATATGTGCGCAGGTTTGTAATTCATACAACCCAGCCTAAACAAACTACTTTTCTTGCCTATAAATTTTGATACAGAATTTTGTTTTATTTTATCACTTCGGGGTACGCGAGCCGGAATTCACAGCGCTTTATCTGTAGAGTGGGAAAGGGATCCTCCATAGGGAGAGGATAGTGGATACTTCAGCACTGCATTGTCATCGGGTCCAGGCGAATCTCCTTCGTCAGATCTGGACACGGCCTGGATCCGGCAGGCTGCGGGAAAACCTCGGGATAAACAAAGACACTAATATTAGCGTAGATGCCATTCTTCTTATGATGTAGCGAGTACATCAAGATTTAAGGGAAGTGTTCCCAGTTCCGGCTGACCTAATCTATGCAGCCTAACATTGAATTTATAGAAGTCTATAATGTATTATGTGTATGCTAGGTCAAAGAGATGTGTTTTTAGTCTAGCTTTGAACTGACAGAGTGTGTCTGCTTCCCGGACAATGGTAGGAAGACTGTTCCAAAGTTTTGGTGCTAAATAGGAAAAGGATCTCCCACCTGCAGTCGATTTAGATATTCTAGGTATTATCAACTGGCCGGAATTTTGAGATCGCAATAGACGTGAAGGACTATAATGCGTTAAGAGCTCGCTCAAGTACTGCGGAGCTAAACCATTTAGTGCTTTGTAGGTAAAATGGTAATCATGTAAGAGTTAAGCACCAAATCAGCATGTTAGAATGATTTCTGAAGGATCATGTCACACTGAAGACTGGAGTAATGATGCTGATGAAAATTCAGCTTTGCCATCACATCACATTTAAAATAGAAAGCAGAGATTCAACTGTTACTGTATTTTTTTTATCAAATAAATGTAACCTTTGAAAACATTTAAATATCTTACCGACCCCAAACTTATAAGAATAAGAACAAAACAAAGTTCATGTAAAAGCATTAAAAGTCTAATAAAGAAGAGGTGGATAAGGATTCAATGTATTTTTCCCACACTGCTTGTTGTTTGATTTAGACTCTTATGAGGATGACCCAGACACACCTGGAAAAAAGAGACTGTGTTCTTCAAGTGTAACCCCACCCTTGGAGATTAATGTAACAGAGGAGGAATTGAGACTTCTGAGGTCAGTGCAGCTGTTTGAGCTGTTTAAACATTCCTGATTCCATCGTCATCTTCTCTTTGAAACATGCATGTGTGTTCAATTAGTTCTGCACCTTTGCCAAAACAAAATGCCATAAATCTCTCTTTTGTTCTTGAAGGTCTTGTCAGGCCTTCCTGAGGGGTCTTGCTTTAGATGTAAGGTTCCCAAAGAGTGAGTCACTGAATGTGTTGTTGGAGAGACTTCCCACATGTTTCATCGAGAAAGAAAGCACAGAGCTCCGCCGTGGAAGGCGGTCAGTAATTAAAACCATTGCAGAGGTCAGACTCAGTTCTTATTTGTTTTTGTCGTCTTATTGTTTTAAACTCAATTTAGACTCATACACTGTATATTTTATTCTGTAGGACTACCTGCGAGAACACATTGAGGTGAGCTGGCATGCCCGTACGTAATTTGCAGTGCTGGGTAGTTTGCTTACAGATTGTTGTCTATTAGTGAAATAAATTACAAAAAATTTTAGTTAGTAATGTAATCTAATACATTACACTTTTTAAGTTATATAATCTGACTACTTTTTGATTACTTTTAGACTTTTTGATTTGAATAGTATAATCTTGTTCCATATTGATAAAAAATACAAAGAGAAAGAAAAATGATTCCATTTTTTGTTAACAACAAAATGAAACGATTAAAAATAAAATTAAAATTACATTGCGTAAGGGTCTTCCAAACTAGGGTTTGGGAAGGAACTGCAGAGGGATTGTAAATTGACGAAAAGCTAAAAAAAAAACTAAAATAAAACAAAACAGTAACTAATAAAATGATTAAATATTTTATTTGTTTATGCCTTGTGGCCTCTCAATTTTCCACGTAATTATAGTCGGCTGGTCTGTGTGTGCAGTTCCACAAAACGCGAAGACTTTCTGAACGTATTTAAGAAATCGCCTTTTTTAGGAAAGAACATTTAAAAGATAATTAGGGATAATCAATTAATTCTGCCATTTTGTGAATATTAAGTAATAATGTAATCTATAAAAAAGTAGCTGTAGTCTGATTATGAGTATTTTAACATGTATTATATTCTAATTACAGGTACTTAATTTTTGGATCTGATTTGGATCTGATTATTATTATTTAGATTACATGTAATCAGTTACTACGCAGCACTGTAAACAAAATACTACAAATGGGATGTTTTTGGAGCTTGAATGGGATATATTTATGATATTTTGTTCTTTTGACTCATACTGCAGCTTCTCCACTCAACAGGAAGAGCTAGAGGAACTCTGCCTCTGACAGTACATAATGTTCTCGCTTCACAAGCGTGTCATGGTTAGTGTTATAAATCCACCATTAAGTTCAATTTAAATATATTCTGTTAATTAACTGTTATAGGGAACACAGAAACTGTCTACCCCTTCTCCCATTTATACAAAAGAAGCCACAATGTGTCTAAACATGTTTGTTTACACTTTGAGTACATTTAACGATTGTCAATTTTTGTTAGCTATTTTTAAGAATGTAGGCAATAATTAGCATTTTCTAAATATTCTTGTGCATATTAATTAAATGTATTTATTTATCTTAACAGGAGCAATTAAGTTCAATGACATTTTGAGTAAAGAGGAGTGCTGTAGTCTGGTGAGCTCGCTCTCCTCTTGTCATCTTCCTTTCCAGTGTGCTCATGGAAGACCTTCCATTGTCCCTCTGGCAGATCTTCACCACTTAGAAGATCAACAGGTATGTTTCAACTAATCTGCAACAATAAAAAATTTGTTGTATATTTTCTAATATTTTATGTTTATTTTTTTTATATCCCCACAGGATCTTCCCAAACCAAATCTGAGGAAATTGAGAAGGATGTACAAGTCGTGGAAGCTTTATGGAAAAGATCAATCTCTTGCTCAAAACAAAGCATGAATTTATCAACAGAAAAACCTCCTGCAATTATTAAATTATTTATTTTAGAGTCCACCTGCTTCTGTTTATTGCTGGACTGCTTTTATTTTGTTACACTTTTTGGAGCATACAGTTGCTGCCAACAAAAACTGCTCTGCGATAGAGCAGCCAATAATAAAGGACTATACTCGATCGTGAAGTATTTTCCTCCAATCAAATGGTTCCTTTCAAGGTTGTGGTCCAATCAACGTTAAACGTAGGAGGGCGCTAAAATGGATGACGTTCCTACACAGAGCTCATTGTTAGTGCATTGCGTTGAAAGCTGGAAGGGGCAGCAGATGATCTCACGTAAACGTTAACCAGTATTACTCCATAGGTGAGTTTTCACGTAGAAATTATATTCTATAACGTATAAAAACATTTTTGGACTCAATTGATGATATATATTGATTAATTATATCAGTTTTTGTGAGTTAAAATCAAGAGTATCTCTTATCCTCCCAATTCAAAGATGGCCGAACAGCAGCACTGACGTATGGATTTGGCGCTTTCTGCATAAGATTAAAATGTCAATCTTATGATTTCTGAAAACGTTTTGGAACTCCTAGCATCTGTAATGCTAACGTTACAATTTTTTGCGAATGCAAAGTTAAAGAAATGATCTATACGACTGTCTGAATGCTCTTGGAGTTTACTGTATATCCCACATGCTTTTACGGGATCTAAACGAATCTCGTGTGCTGATGTAACTTACAGTCGTGTGCTGATGTGCAATTAACGTTAAATCAATCTCGTGTGCTGATGTGCCTTAACGTTACTATGTTACGTTAAAAAAAAGCATTTAAACGAGTTATTGTTTATCTTTAGCAGATGTGCATAATCATGTTGTAGCCAATGCTAAACTGACTTTTTGGTCCCTTTGTTGATATACAGTCATGACAATTAATTGCATTATTTGTTTATGGCATGTGGTATGTAGAAATATCAGGGATGAGGATATAATGAAATGTTAAAAGTTATTCTAAGAATTATTTTTTTGTGGTTATGCTTTAAGCGTCCTCTTATAAGCCTCATTATTCTCGAATTTTTAAAAATATTTATGCAGTAATGATGAATGACTGAAAATTCAGAGGACCTGAATTATGGTGTCTGTATTTGATTTGGTTATGTATGTTGACTTTCTCATTGCATCAGTGATGAACAGGATTCGGATCCACGTTCTGCCATCCAGCAGAGGTCGAGTGACTCAAGCTGCTCGCTCTCAAGAACCTCAGACCTGCTCCTTCACCCAGAGACCCTGTTCACAGCCTCGTCTGGAGGGCCTGGAGTTCTGCATCAAACATGTTCTTGAAGATAAAAATGCTCCCTACAGGCAATGCAGCTATGTTTCCAACAAGAATGGCAAGCGCTGCCCCAATGCAGCCCCAAAACCAGAGAAAAAAGAGGGGTGAGTGTGTTTTTTTTACTTCCTTAGCATGGTTAAGAAAGTACCTGGTTTCTATTTTTTTATTTGACTATTAATGTTGTTTTTCTTTCTGTTAGGGTTGCGTTCTGTGCTGAGCATGCACGCAGAAATGCTTTGGTTCAACAAGCCCAAATGCGGAAGGCATCTGCTTCCGGCCCGTCCCCTGAAGTTCTACTGTCTCAGCTCAGCGGCTATAGTCGGCCAGAATCTGGAGCTCACAGTCACGAGGGCCGAAGTGAAGCTAGTCGCATACTAGGTGAGATCTAATTCGCGTCTAATCGTGCTCTTACTTGCTTTTGGCCTTGCAACCATTGAGAAATCTGTTTTAAGTCTGAATGTGTTGTAAACAAGCCTGTGTGTGTGAACTGATAACTAAAGTGACTCCAGTTTGGTTGCTACTCCAGAGGAAATTAACAGCAGTAAAAATCAACATTAAATGTGGCATAAGCAACAAAAGACCTTATTATACTGGCTAAAAATTTAAATGCTTTTTTTTATTTTTAGATATGATTTCTGCTGTCTTTGAACTAACATCAAAGGATACTAACTAATGGTTTATGCATTTTATTATTTTAATGTAATAATTTTATTTAAGTTGTCATTTTTTGTTCTTTATTTTGTGATATTGTTTTCTAATAACCCTATCTATAGATGTGATTTTTTTTATGGTGATATGTTGTGCCATTTAAACATTTATTTATTTCTACAGAAATATTAAAATTATTAGTTTTTGTTCTGCCATTTGACACAAATAAATGTTTAATAGATTTGAGCATAACAGAATAAAATAATGATACAAGAGTTGCAGTGTCTTACATGTATTTTGTTTTATGCCGTTTGTCGATATAATTTGTCTATATTTTTTTCCTTGTATAGATGAAGAGAGCTGGAGTGAGGAGGAGCAGGATCCAATTGTTTTGGATCAGACATGGAGAGGAGACCCTGACAGTGATGCTGAAAGTCTTGATAGTGACCATGAAGACCCTTTGAAGTAAGACATTGCTCAATTAAATTTTCTTATCTGCTTTGTTTTGTACGATTTCTGCTTCTCTCGATTTGCTATCAGGATTAGTTAATAAATGCGGTCCATGCAACCAACAATACTTAGTAAAAATTATTTGGAATTAATATTAGGAAATTCACTTTTTCACGTTTTTGCTTTTGAGAGAAGCTGCTCAAAGGTTCTACCAGTTTTCGTAATGCAAAGCAGTTGAAAACTACTTAGCCACCGTCTGTTTGCACTGTTTAGCCATTTTGTGAGATGAACATGGCTAAAAGGAGAAGAAAGACACCCCTTTTGATAATTATATATACAATTATATATTAGTATATAATTATAATTGTATATATAATTATAATTATATATACAATTATAATTGTATATATTATACAATATACTATAATATATACAGTATATATTGTATACTGATATATTGTATACTTTGTATATATATTGTATACATTGTATACTTGTATTAGTATACAGTATATATTGTATACTTGTATACATAACTAAAATAGTTATGATAATAATCATGATTATCAGTTTAACCATTATCGTGCTGCCCTCCCTGAGATGTCAGTTGATGAGTGTGACTTATTTTCTATAGGCATGCGGGTGTTTACACAGCAGAGGAAGTGGCGCTCATCACACGTGAAAAACTAATCAGACTTCAGTCCCTCTACATAGACCAATTCAAACGTCTGCAACACTTATTAAAAGAAAAGAAACGACGCTACCTGCATAGCCGCAAGATTGAGCATGAAACAATTGGTAAGGCTGCTGCTGTTATTCTTTGGTTGCATTCATGTGTTCAGTCAACATATAATATAATCAATTTTGTGATGCAGGGAGCAGCCTGTTAACGGGTCCAGAGGGCCTGTCCATGAAGGAACGAGAGAACCTAAAAAAATTAAAGGCTCTGCGACGTTATCGTCGGCGCTATGGAGTGGAGGCGTTGCTGCATCGTCAGCTCAGAGAGCGAAGACAAGCGATTACTGAGGGAGGCACGCCACAGGTATGGGTGGACTTTCTAGTAACGTCTTATACGACAATAAAAGGTTTAATCTCTACAGACCTGAATGACATTTGATTTTCAGACTGTGAAATGGACATCAGTCTGAGCCTATTGCCATGCTCAGTAACTTTTTATTAACGTCATTTGTGCATCCTTTTAATTCTTTTGTGTTTTTTTTTACCACACAGGCGATGCGTTTAGGCCAGAGATGTATTTCCTTTGTGGAAGGGACACGCTGTTCAAATCAGTGTCTGCCGATGACACGACATTGCGTCTCTCGTATCCTTTTTCGTTTCTGTTGTATCTATGCATGTAATGTTCAGATCTATTAAACTTGTTTTTTTGTTTGTTTTCTGGCAAATAGAAAAAAAATTTAGACTGATAATTTGAGTAGTTTGTTGTATATATATTGTTCAGGAGTTTGGAGTCAGTAGGATTTTTTTTGCTTATTAAGTGTCTTATGCTCAGCAAGGCTGCATTCATTTGATAAAAAAATACAGTAAAAACAGTAATATTGTGAATTACAATTGTTTGAAATTGTTTTAAAATTAAAAACGGTTTTCTATTTTAATATATAATGTAATTTATACCTGTGGTGGCAAAGATGAATTTTCAGCATCATTACTCCAGTCTTTTGTGTCACGTGATCATTCAGGAATCATTATATTATGGTGATTTGGTGGTCAAGAAACATTTCTTATCTTTGTTGAAAATAGTTCTGAAAACTTTTGATCAGAATAATGTTCTGTTTGAACAAAATTATTAATTTCTTATAAAAATATCTTGCTGACTCCAGACTTTTGAATGAAAATAGACATTTAGTTAATAATAATATAGTATATTTTCATTATATATATATATATACACATACACACATATCACACATATCACACATGCTCTTGTAGCCCTGAATCAAGGCCCGCAGTTTGCTGTAGCTGTTGGTTTCAAACAGTGGCTTATACAAAAGTCTTCTAATGGTCTGTTTACTTCCCAGAATTATCTAATGGTGAAGTCCATTCTGTTTGAAGGAACAGTTCATGTTCTCCACCTCATCTTGCCTCCCATATCTTTGACATTTAAAAGTTATTTCCCCAGTTGTCATTATCTCCTTAACCCTTCACAATAGACATTTATCAAGATAGTGGCCAAGTTTTATTCAAGATGTGCCCTGGTCTGAAGGACGTTCCATGTGATCGGCCTGTGCACATGGGACAGTCTGAGGAGCCCCGCTGTCCTCTGCACCTGTCTCTGCCTCCACCCATGTACCAGCCCGAGCAGGAGTCTCTTGCCCCGGAGCAGTTGGCGTCTGCGCCCACAGACATGTACCTCAGTGCTGCAGAGCTCCAGCCAACAGAAAATCTACCTCTGGAATTCAGTGATGTATGATTTGTGTTGGTTTTTCTCATTAAAACAAAAATCGCTGTGTGCAATTGCTTTTCTCATATGTGTTTTGGCACATCCCTTCCTTCACACAAAGTTTCCCATTATCAGAATAATTAAGTCTGCAATCTGCGCTAAATTTGTTCACCAAAACCCCTTACTCTCTCTTCAGATTGCTGAGGTATCTATCAAGTATCTACATGCCTGCTAACAGTGCTGCTCAAACATGTTCCCTGCAGTGTAAATCATATCCCGTAGCCTCACATGAATGAAAAGCAAATTAATCTAAATGTTCAGCAGTCCTCTTCCTTTAATTTTGTTTCTAACATTTTCTGTGCCCATAGTAAAACCTCTAATTTAATTTCTTTTTTGGAAACGTCTCATTTTCCTGTTATGCCACAAGCTATTTATGTGCTTTTCCATTATTTGTTCCCATTGCCTGCTTTCAAAAACAAACAATATTGCAAATTTACCCATATTGCTGGTTTTTTTTTGTGTTGGTTATTTGGCCGTCAGTGACAATTAGATGTTGAGCTGTTAAGTAGATTTTATTAAATATAAGCTATTTTGCAAAAACACGTTCACTTATAAAATAACTGGTTAGGTACTACACCTAAAACGTAACTTAATGTGCTATTAATTGAGACATTTAAAAGAAAGTTTAAATAAAAAAAATTATGAAAGTCTCAGATTAATACCAAGCTAGTGGTGATTTGTACTATATTTTGCACTATATTTTTAATATAAATTTCTGATTTTATTTGGTACATTGTCATTGCACAAAATATGAATACTAAATCAGTTATCAGCCAAAAGCAGTTTTTTTAATCTGATATTGAATTTCTCTCATTTACCAATTTTACATGTAGTTTACCTTTGCCGTATTTTTTTTTTTTTTAAAACACTTATAATTTAACACTAAAATGTGATATTTAGCCATTTTCATACTGTACATTATAATCACGTAATGCCTAAATTGTTGCATTTAAATTTTTTTTAGACAAAATAGCATACAATTTATCAGCTATTAATTGGTTATTGACCATACCATAAAATAATTTCTATGCCGAATTTAAATATTGGTGCATCCCTAATCATCAGTGATGTAATTAAAGTCTGTTGGTGTGCAGGATCTTGATGTTGAAGATGAGGGATTGCAGTGTCCCCCATCCCCCTTGCTGTTTGATACAGCGCTTGCATTAGAGGACCAAACCATCAGAGAGATTGCCGAGGCCCCCATGGACATACTGACAGGGACGGAGCATGGATATCTAGACGGATCTGCCCAAGATGTTGAGCTCTCAGAGAGAGACAAGGTGTCTGTGGAAGATGAGGTAATTATCACTTGGAATACGCAAACGATGCAACCTCAGTGGTGTGTCTATTCTTTGCAATGACAAGTGGGCATTTAAGCACCATAGCTACTGTCTTGTTTTACAGGTTGAATCTGAAATACTTGAAGCAGTTGGACAAGTGGTTCCCATGCTGAATTCATCAAAGGATTCTGACACGAAAACAACAGATGCCTTATCCTGAGCACCTTGTGACCTGATTTTCTCAGCTGTTGTACCCTTGATATTTCAAACAGTTCAAATATCTATTTAAAAGCCATATTCCGGAAGTCTGCTTTCATCACAATTTAACCCAACATTCTCTTTACTTAAAATAGCACAATGGCACATGTTCTGATATAGATTGCAAGTGTCTTCTGCACAGCAGTGCCAGTGACAGTATATGCACATAGTTTGTATTTTGTAAGGCAAAGATGAGGTATGTGTTTAAGTACAGAAAGTCTCCAAGCACCATCTCCATTTTTATCCAGCACATTTCTGGTTCGATATGATATTCATGACTCATACTGGGAATTGTTCACTAAAATAAACCTTTACATCTCATCTTGCTCTTGTTAATTATAATTTTGCATTCATGAACGGAGCTCCTCTGGGACCGTCAGGGTTCCTAGAAATATCAGGGCATTTTTATCATCAGAGTCATGGAAATTTCTATAGTGGATATAACATGGTTCTTGTAATGATCAGGGTTGGGTTTTCCAAAAGTATCGTTAGCCAACTTTGGTCGCATGTACCATTAAACTCTTATTGGTAATGACAGAACTTGCATCCATGCATTTGGCTTTGGGAAACGCACCCTTGGTTTGTTGAACTTCCTTGCAAGTTTGATTTGTGTGCAAATTGTTATTTTGAGTTGGTTCTTTTTGATAATTCAGTCAAACTGGTTCACATAAAGATTCATTAGTGATTTTTCTATGTCAGAAATCCTTGTACAGTAAACACAAATGACTGGAAAGGTCATGCAAATTGGTCAAACGAGTGAGAACCCTGGACAATGTGTCTGGATGTTGAACAATTACTAGGTGAGCTCCCTACTTTGAAAATTAAGCAGTTTGATTTGGAACATGTTGGCTATTAAGTAGAAAAGATTAGTAGAAAATAATAGAGTTTGGAATTTTATATATATTTTTGAATTTATTTATTATTATATAAATTACATTTTATACAATTAAAGGCATAAACACCACAAAAGAAAATATGCAGATTGGCCACAGAACACTGAATTGCATTTTAATCTTGAAGGACAGATATAAATAAAGAATCGCTGCTTAGTCACAAATCATGATTAATGCAATCACTGCAGATGCGTAACGAAAATAACGCGATGACACCGTAGCTTAATAAAACAGACTATTTTAGCAAATTAAAAAAAATCTATTAAACAAGATGAATGTGTGAGGCAAAACTATAAATGAAAACATGCTTTTGAAAATGCTACGTGGAGCCCAAGATAGGGCCTTTTAATAAAAGTGGGGCGGGCAACACAATTTCAAGCCATGACATCACTTTTCCTGCGAGTGCTTTAACCTAAACACGGGAAGAGAGACGGATGGGAAGAGACGACGATAAAAGCTCTAATCAGCGGCTGGGGAAACAGATAAACATGTCCACAAGCTGTGAATTTAAAAGTACAGTTCAAGGTATTTCTTAGCGATATTCATCGGGGATATTTTCACACCTTCCGAAGCAACACAAGGATCGCGCGAGGTAAAGATCTCCTTTTTCCCAGCTATCGCGCGCACAGTTTGACGTTTACGTGTCAAAAGTATACTGATTTTGCAAAATGTAATGTACTATGGATATTGTAGGGTTTTGTTGTGGTTATAAATGTTGATGTGCGCGGTGTAAGATTGGAAAGGGAAATGTGGGGCATTAGCCATCCGGCTATCTGGGACACCGGTGGGGTTGTAGACTGAGGATGCTTGTCGTGATATCCTGCTTTGCTCAGAAATATTGCGCTTGGCTCTTTAAATCACTAATTCTGCAACAATAGATTTTTATATGTTGCTTAAAATATGGACTTTGCATTCTTCATGGTAGTGCACAAAAATCACAATAATCCGATCTTATCCTAAGCCTTTGCATCAGTTTCCCCGGTTCACTCTGTTTTATGTAGTTAAAGCTATAGCCCTTCCTCTTTCTACAGCACCGCGAACGTGCAGTCTGTTTATAGCTACACACTTTGGCAACCCACAACTTTTGTGTTTACTTGTGTGTGATGAGAACGCAGACTGCATTGTAAAATTGCTAATTTTGGCAGTTCATTCTGCTAGAGACCCTAAAACAGCAACTAATTCAAGAGTAATTGAGGGTAAAAGCATGTCCCCAGCCCCTCCCCTTTAATATTTTACAGATGTTTTTCACATTTGCAAGTCCCATGTTCAAAACCATGTTAAGGCTGGCTCGCAACCTACAATTCTCCCACATCTAATATTCAAGATATTTGGGAGATTGTTCAATTAGAGGAACTTTTCTGTCTCTTATTTTTTTTTTTTGTATCTCTTTAATTACTCTTATCTATCTATCTATCTATCTATCTATCTATCTATCTATCTATCTATCTATCTATCTATCTATCTATCTATCTATCAAAGAATCACCGTTCTTGCTGTCATTACCATTAAAATGTTCTTAATTATGGAAAATACAAGTATCTAGCACATCGTTTCTCAAGTGGACGTTTAAAGATCATTTTAATTAATTTTCACTTCATAATCTGAGAGTTGCTTTACTGGATGGGTGTCATTACCACCAAACCGGACAGTTTTTTGAGAATATTATTTCAGAAGCTGTTGATTAAAAGTTAATTGACTGCTATAACTCAATTGTTGTGTTATCAATTCCATGGTTTATCCATAACTTTTTACTACAAAAAGTGAAAATTGTCATTAGCATTACACGTCATTGCCATCACATTATACCAAAATCTATTTAAAAGTTCAGATCTTTATACATATATATGTATGTATGTGTGTGTGTGTGTGTGTGTGTGTGTGTGTGATAAATGCTTAACATAGTTTGAAAAAGTTTCATTTGTGGTGCCTCTATTTGAAGAATCATAGAGCTCTTGAAATTTTGATGCCCATGTTGCACAGCCTGAAGTAAATAATGTCCCCAAAAATAGCTGACAGCAATCGAAGGCGAGATAAACTCCAAATTGCTCAGTAAACCAAATTGCCACAGAGGACATTAGATGCAGCAGGGAGCCTTGCTCCCAGTTTGCTGATAGTCATGGTTGTGTGGTAATTCTGCGAACTACTCCCATGATCACAACATTATCTTTGTGTATCTTTTGATCTTTTTG